TAATATACAATTCGTGTCAAAAATGGTAAAAATAACCGTGAATAATCTATAAAAATAAATAAAAATTTTAATACTTAGATCGTGGATATTTATCTAATAAGATAAAATTTTAATATTATTATATTAATATTATAATTATATAATTATACTAAAAAATATTATATAATATAATATATAGAAAAATTAATTAATAGCGAATTTTCTTAATAACAGATTACTGCTTTCATTATTTTCCGGTACTATCACATTATTCATGATACATTTCAAAACGAGCTCTCAGTTTCATTATAACAAAGCCAATAACATCTCCAGCATTTTCACATTATGAAAACGTCACGTAGTAGTGGAAAATTTACATTTCCCTGGGACAATGAAACGCATGATAATAATCAGGAATCCGAATTGTGCGAATTTATGCGTCAACGATTCTCGAGTCATTTCACACATATAAAAGACACGACTTTATCACGATTAAAACTTTCTTTTATTTTACTATTATGAAAAATAACATAATCGTGCGAAAATATATTAATAGAATAGTTTACACACTTGCACATCGAATTTCTTAATCGATTAATTTTCCCTAATTAGTTCTCTAACTTCGTAAAATTTGTTTCACAATATACCATCAGTACGTAATCCTTCAGAAACTAAAATTTAATTAAAAATAGTCAATTAATATACCACACGAATTCCAATTTATCAGAGGTACCTCAATCGATGCCTCGAATATATGAAATAAAATTTCTTTCGATTCCCAATAGAATTTCGATTATCATTCTCCCCAGCAAGAACGCCAGGAAATAAAAGTCGAATTTCCAATTCAGCGAAAGTACCAACTCGATACACCAATTATTCCAGGAATTCGGGTAGAGAAAAGCTCGTGGAATTCCTTCGATAATGGCGGAAGAAATCTGTTCATGCCAGTCCGAGGAACGCTTTATGCTCTTTAACAATGCAATTACACGTCGAACGCTCGATTTGCTTTTCCTCTCGATTCCAAATCGGAATCCAAGAGTCCACGTGCCTCTTAAAAGCTAGATTATTCCACTTGGGCCATTCAGCCGAGTACGATGTTCGCGCGAGAGTTCTTTCGAGGTTATGTCGCGCTGACGCGTGAGAGTGACAAGATGGCCGCCTCCGCGTCCACTCGACGCGAAGTTAGTCGCAAAAATGGGTTAGTCCCTGGTTCCTTTTCAGACGGAGGTGAGTGCGTCTCTCAGAAGGTTTCTTAGATCCACGATCTCTTTGGTTAACCTGTCCACCTCGTTCTCTTCGATCTTAATGATATTATAAAAATATTATATAAAAATATTTTATATAATATAAATGATATTATAAAAATATTATAAGAAAGTATATCTTTTGCTGTAGAAAATTCGCTGTTTCGAGATCTCTCTGAAATCCTATCGATTCAGTATAGTACGTTCGAGCATGATGATCCTCTGGTACAATAACTGTGACATTGATTTCCCTCTTCTTCACCATCTCCTCTTTACCATATTTTCCTTCCATCCCTTTTAATCCCTCTGATCGCGAAGATGCTTCCTCCATGATCGATTCGATTTCCGGTCGTTTGCTCGGCGGTGAGTGCGTCGCTCTTGGTTACAGTATTTTGCAGTTAATGGTGTTTACACATTACGTGGACGTCGATTTCAATCTGCTCAGAGCAGCCTCAACATGGCGGGGTCGTTGAAAAGACCGAGTAATTGACGTTGAAGGCGGTGGCTTGATAGAGGACCTGAGAATTAAAGGAAAATTTCGCGTATGCCATTCAGGTAGGAGTTTTGAAGAGAATTGGGTCGGAAAGTTCCTGAAACTCCAAGTTTCCCGCGGTGGTTCCATTTTCACGAAAATATCGGGGTAGCAAATTCTTCAGAGAGTAATTGAGAATTAAATGGGAATTATTGAAAATGAATGAATTCGTAGTAACAATCTTCGAAAAAACAATTTATTTATTCTGTAGTTTAATCGTATTATTTTATTTTATTATTCTATTTGGTATTTTAATAATTTTTATGTATGAAAGATATATTTTTATTCTTATTCTCTAGAATATTATATTTTTATCTTTATTTTTATTCTATAGATATTGATTTTTTTTAAATATTTTATTTGCAATCGTATGAACATGTTTGGTCGCGAGTAATTAAATGTAGCTCACATATGACTGTTTTAGACCCTGATTTATATTAATATTTTTCAGAAATATGAGAAGATTCTTTATATTTTCATCTGAATTTGTTGTCTCATTCGTGTTACTATTACGATGAGAATAATTGCATTAAAATATAATATAATATAGATTTAGAGTGTGAAGATAATATTAATATAAATTATCTTCACCACCACCTACTAGGTTGGCCAAAAAATAATATCGGTATTTTTATTTTTATTTTTATTTTTATTAGAAAATTAAATAAAAAATAATGAAGTAATTTAAATTGAGTAATATATTGATCACTTCGATCTACGATAAATATTTCCAGATTTGAAATTATTGCTCTGGACTAAAAATGGTTTCTTATTGGTCAAACCTGATATTTTATTCGAATAATTCCTTCTTCTTATGCTACCAACTAATTTTACAATTTTTTTAATACTCTCACTCGCATTTTTCAAAATTATCGCTCATAATTCACGATCCTTCACAGCCTCGACATTTTTACTCGGCAACTCCTGTTTCTCTGGATCGTAGCAACCGTGGAGGCAAAGCTCTCTCTCGAGGAGAGCTTTCAAGCCATCTTTTCTTACGAGGCTGACAGAAAAATCGCCGTCATAAGGTCCTGAAGATTCTTGAAGACTGCGAGGGGCCGTTAACCCCCTTATTCAACGAAGATTTCTAGGAATTCCTGCTTCTCTGCCTCGTATAAATACGTTTGTCAGCCACGAGGTCGCTCTCCTCAAACCACGAGGTCGCAACAGGAAATATGCTTCACGCAATGACGACAGAATTAGATTCTTTTTACTTATCGTCCATGTGGGTGGCTCTTGTTTCATTCCTTACGACTGATGATCTAGATAAATTAATGTCAGTTGCGTATTCGCCTAGCAAATTTTCTTGGCAACGAAAGCTCCTGAAGCTCTACTTATGGGGTTCTTTTATGACGATTAATGCTTCAGTTAAGATACTTCGTGAGTTGATGTAATTTATTTTTGACAGTAGGAAATGTTACCTTAACTCTTTGCTCTTGGCGATCTTTTCGTTAAATATTTTTCGGAAAATAATACTTCAAAGACTTTCTGCCATAAAGTCGACGATATTTCTAAAACGGTAAATAAGAAATCGTATGCAAATTTAGACGTAGAATTATTTTACTTCGATATTCCAAGCATCCTTCAGTAATTGTGAATTTGATATATAAATTAACATCCATCTTTAGAATCTGATTAAATGGCGACTGAGAGGCGCCTCTCGAGTGAAAAGGGTGAAATGTTTGTAAATCTGGATTTTTAGTAAGCCAGGGAAATTAAGATTGTTATGAATTAAAATAATTCTTATAACGCGAATGTATCATTCAACTTTCGCGAATACTTTATACCAAGTTTGGAGAATAGATTACATTTTCGTGTTCAATTTTTCATATTATTGATTTCAGGAGAAATATTTGAACAGACGCTTTTAGTTCACCCTGGAGGTTTAATTTTCGACCAACTGTTGGGTGAAAATGTGGCTGTCTCGGCATATATATTTTCTGCTTTATTAAATTAAGCAAAGTTTCACAGAAATTTGCACATAATTTCGTCGTTAATTGCTCATCCTTCGTTATCGTATAATTAACGAGCAACCTGACATGGATAATGTAATATACAATTCGTGTCAAAAATGGTAAAAATAACCGTGAATAATCTATAAAAATAAATAAAAATTTTAATACTTAGATCGTGGATATTTATCTAATAAGATAAAATTTTAATATTATTATATTAATATTATAATTATATAATTATACTAAAAAATATTATATAATATAATATATAGAAAAATTAATTAATAGCGAATTTTCTTAATAACAGATTACTGCTTTCATTATTTTCCGGTACTATCACATTATTCATGATACATTTCAAAACGAGCTCTCAGTTTCATTATAACAAAGCCAATAACATCTCCAGCATTTTCACATTATGAAAACGTCACGTAGTAGTGGAAAATTTACATTTCCCTGGGACAATGAAACGCATGATAATAATCAGGAATCCGAATTGTGCGAATTTATGCGTCAACGATTCTCGAGTCATTTCACACATATAAAAGACACGACTTTATCACGATTAAAACTTTCTTTTATTTTACTATTATGAAAAATAACATAATCGTGCGAAAATATATTAATAGAATAGTTTACACACTTGCACATCGAATTTCTTAATCGATTAATTTTCCCTAATTAGTTCTCTAACTTCGTAAAATTTGTTTCACAATATACCATCAGTACGTAATCCTTCAGAAACTAAAATTTAATTAAAAATAGTCAATTAATATACCACACGAATTCCAATTTATCAGAGGTACCTCAATCGATGCCTCGAATATATGAAATAAAATTTCTTTCGATTCCCAATAGAATTTCGATTATCATTCTCCCCAGCAAGAACGCCAGGAAATAAAAGTCGAATTTCCAATTCAGCGAAAGTACCAACTCGATACACCAATTATTCCAGGAATTCGGGTAGAGAAAAGCTCGTGGAATTCCTTCGATAATGGCGGAAGAAATCTGTTCATGCCAGTCCGAGGAACGCTTTATGCTCTTTAACAATGCAATTACACGTCGAACGCTCGATTTGCTTTTCCTCTCGATTCCAAATCGGAATCCAAGAGTCCACGTGCCTCTTAAAAGCTAGATTATTCCACTTGGGCCATTCAGCCGAGTACGATGTTCGCGCGAGAGTTCTTTCGAGGTTATGTCGCGCTGACGCGTGAGAGTGACAAGATGGCCGCCTCCGCGTCCACTCGACGCGAAGTTAGTCGCAAAAATGGGTTAGTCCCTGGTTCCTTTTCAGACGGAGGTGAGTGCGTCTCTCAGAAGGTTTCTTAGATCCACGATCTCTTTGGTTAACCTGTCCACCTCGTTCTCTTCGATCTCTTTGTCCTTCTTTCGGAAGTAACGCTGTACCAGCTGCGTCATCACCAGGGGGAACTCGACGTTGTTATTCTCCTCCAGGGTTTCCTGTTGGAGAAACATTCGTTTAATTCTTGGTATTTTTGAAGTAGAGAGGTGAGAGTATCGTGTCATTTTTCTTCCTTTAAAAAGGGTTTAGGAATGATTGGTGCTCTGAGATATATCTTCTCTTTCTTTTTTCTTTGAAGTCATACTGTCGAGTTGAATTTGTTGAGTAAAACGATTTCGTGTCCCTTTGGAAATGATTTAATTAGGTATTATAGATGAATGACCATAATGTGTGACCTAAAGACTATGTTTCGAATATACTTATCGTTGCATTAACAATGTTATAATAACAAGAACCCCATTGTGTATCAATCTTTTTATTGTGAAGCTTTTAAAAAATTGTAATGCTTATAGAATTATGGTAAATGGTGGTCACGTGTAATTTGAGAATTCCAATACGTATATATTTCATAATAATATATTTTATTATAGTATAAAAGCGTCTAGGTGGTTGTACTAACAATGTAACAACAGTGATGAGGGTCCCATCGTGCACGCTTGTTTGGAGGTGGCTTAAGCCAAATTTTCAAGTACTCTATCACTGGCTGGATACCGACGTATGTTGGAATAATGTTGAATGGCGGCGGCAGCGTGGTTGTGAGCATGAAGTCGACGTAAGTCTGAAAGTCAGATATTTCTTCAGTTTGCTCTTCCTAAGTCGAGTTCTATGCAGAAGTCTTAGACCATTTGCATTGCTGATGTTACAGTTGCACTTGAACAGAATTGTAGAGAGTTATAAATTTATGGAAAAATTCCGTGGAAACTTCTCCTTTGTGATATTCTTTAATTCGAAAATCTTTTTCAGAGTGTCATAATATATAACGTAAAGATCATCATGATAACTGTTCAAAAGGGATATAAAGGATAAAAATATATAAAAAATATTAGGTTCGTGAAATGTCGAAAAAATAATTGTGAAAAGAAGGAAATTATTAAATTAAAAATTTATACTGCAATGGGAATACGAAAAAGGGTACATCTAATGTGATTACGTATTAATTACTATTTTATTAGTTACTAATTATTGAATTAAATATATATGTTGGGATTGAAATAATTTCAAGTTTTCCTATATGTATTCCTTTGCAAAGTCGAAACGTTTTATTTTAATAGAAGGTCCAAGACTTCGCGCAATTACGAAGTCGTTCAATATCGTTTCTTTCTCCCCGAGTAGTTTCTAACCTCAGTTCGACCAAACGTCCATTCCACGATCACATTCTCCGTGACTGTCGTTAATGTGTTGGACATGCACGCGATCAACATGTTCAGAATCACGATTACGCCAATGAACGTGAATCCTGGAAAGATTAGACTCACATTGAATAGAGTATACGGTTTTTAGGTTAGATCGGAGAAAATGTAAAAGACTGTTGAAATACTTATTACATGATACAGTAAAATAATTCTATTAGTTTTTAAAGCTCTTTCTCAATTTCTGCAATATTATTTCATTAAATGTTAACAATTTTTTGAGGATTTATATCTATTTTTAAAATGCTATGTAAATAGATGGAGCTATAATAAAACAAGATGGCGGCGTGAAATGAAATATTGTTTATATATATTATTAATAACGTTTTATGCTAAATATTTTAATAGATATGCCAGGGAAAGGAAATATTATTATTTATCGGATTACTTGTTGCCACATTGAAATTTTCATGGGCTTCGTATAAAATTATTTAATTTTAAATATAGGTCTTTTTGAAAGTCAGTGAGATAAGTAATGTCTTACTTATATGGATGTTATTCAACATACGAAAGTATCGTATTATTTTAGCATATTAATAATAATCATACTTTTTGCACGAAATTCACACATTACTCTTTCAATATGCTCCATGGTAAAGTGAAAGGAGAAAGTGAAACTTAATTAACAAACTAATAAATTGTTTCGTATTTTCCCCATAATTTCATCCTCTTTATCTTCTTTCCTTAAGTGCATTACAACTTTTGTTTTCAATTACAGACATTCTGCAAAATTCAAGTCCTTTCTCTAAATTTTCTCACGTATAAATTGTACCCTATTTTTCATAAAGTCTTACCCAATATGAATAAAAATTTAGTTGCCCTTGTTTTATCAGTTATATACAACTTATTTTTCATTCGAATCGGTATTATAATGCTATAAAAATATCATTTTAATAATCAAAAAAGTATTTGCTTTAATAAGCAACCAGTACAATCAGAGACAATCTTTCCAACTATTTCAAGATGACGAAATTATCATATTACGAATTTTAGAATATATAAAGAAAAAAATAAAAATAAAAACCAAAATGAAATTTAGGCGAGAAAATGAACGCAGGTTTCGATTTACCAGCGAACGATATGTAGCCAATGATCTCCGTAAATGTGTGATGATTAATGACGGTCTCGTTCTCAGATTCCCCCGGAAGGTTCTCAATGATCACATCAGCGCTTTCGATAGGGCTCATGCAAAAAAGCGCCCAGAAAAATGTCTTCAAAGCTGAGGAGAAACTGACGAACGAGCTCAGCTGTTGGGTCTTGATCTTGGATTCGTCGTCGATTTGCACCATGTCCTCGTAGTACTGATAAAGTCTACATGTGCCTGGAGGAGGAACGAAAGAAGCAACGTTGTTAAGGAGAAAATCATAGTGAGATAAAATGGATGACAGAGCTCATAAGAAAGACAGTAAATTTTCTTCGCCCAAAGTTTTGGAATTTTTCTTGGTTTCCTTATTGTATATATGTTTGCCTTGGAATGATGGTAGATCCGTCATTGGTCAGACATAATTTTAAGTGGTATATCACAGTCGTTTGTCTGACATATTTTAAGTGGTACAGACCAGTTGTTGGTCTGATATAATTTAAGTAGTATATACCAGGCACTGGTCAGATATAATTTAAGTAGTATAGGCCACACATTGAATAGATGTAATTTAAGTAGTGTAGAGTAATCATCGGTCAGACATCCGTAAGTATTACGTTGTGTAATATGTCCAATCGCGTTTTGTTATAAAAAAATTTAATGTTGACAATCTTTTATGGAATTTACCGAATGAATGGTATATTTTCCAGTTTGTTGTATGATCCTTACCTACTTTAGACCTTTGACCCTTTATATTCGTATTTTTTAATCCTTCATCCGATTATATTTCTATTCTTTCCTTATTGTTTAATTGTTTATATCTGTATAGCTTAAGTAGCCTTTAGCTATTCAATTCTCTATACTTATATTTTTTAATTCTCTAAATATTTTATATTCTTTATTTATGAATTCGTTAACCTTCCATGCCTGACCCCATAATGACTATACTTTTGAGAAAATACACTGAACTCCAAATTCGCAAATTCTTTCAATTATTTAACAACGTATCTTCAGGTAGAAAAATTGCAAAATTTCAATATATATTATTACCTGTTTAATTTTAATAAATGTACGTACATTTTGAGAAACGTTTTGAGAAAAGTTACTTAAGATATCGGACGTACTTGAACAGGAAAACGTAACCACGTGGTTCAAGAGGGAAAAAGAACATTTGACAAATTGTTCATATTACCCGCGGTAAATGCCAGCATGATTATGCTGAGGAGGATGATGAATTTGACAACGTCCTTGATCATTTTGCCCAGAGAAAGTTGAAGAGGACCCAGGTGATAGTCCAGCTGACAGATGTACAACAATTTCAGAAAGGCCATTATCGTGGCCAGGCAGTAAATTCCTTCTGCAATCAATGTGGGATCGTACTTGTTCCAATATTTTCTCTCCAATTCGAGCTGTCCATTTACCCTCACGTCCAACGCGGCAGTTATCCAATACAGGAAGGTCAAAATAAAGAGGAATATCATGATCGTCTCGAACCTGTCATCGATGCAATTTCGCGTGTTAAAGCCGAAGTATCGAATTGTTATTTGATAGATGGTAATCGAATTTCGTAAAACTTCGAAGCTACAGAATATTACGTACTATAATACATGGAAACCTGTGACTGAAACTTTCGCGTAACATCGGGTGTAATATATATATAGAATACATATAGAATATTCGAGTTTATAAAATATTAAAAAGAGATGCGAAATGTTTGACAGTGAAATTGTAAATTTAATACTATATTCAAACGTTGATAAAATATTCGATAATAAAATTTTCAAGAAATTGCTAACTAATTATATTATAGTATAGTATTCAAGTATAGTATAGTGATCAAGTATTCCATATCGAAGATTAAAAGATAATAAATATTTACATTGGAAAACATTGGATGAAAATTTCATTTTAAATATTGTAGGAATGTTGGGTAGGCAACAGAATAAGCAGTGATGTAAATATAAAAATGATTTATTCTAAACTAAACTTTATTCTAAGCGCTAGTAACTCTCGGTTGACTCTCACTCGCTATCTCTCAAGAAACTCTGTGATTGACTCTAAATCACACCCTGATTCTTTCGCATCCTTACACTCTTATTTAAACCTTGCACTCTGTCTTCTTTCATACTCATGTTCTCTTTCTCAATCAGTAGGTTACGTGTCCTAATCATTTAGATGCATTCCTAGACTTTCACTCTTCACTTGCATTTGACTCTGTCATAAGCATCCCTTACATTCGATTCTCTTGCACGTGGTTACTTTCGTTCTAAGCCCAAACACTCTTGACATTCTTTCAGGACTATACTTATTTCTTTCCTACAATATTTAAAAAATTTTCCAGTTTAGATATAATAAATTCAAATATATATCGCAATTATTTTAAATTCGAAGTGAAAAATGAATTACTCTAAGAAGGAAATTATTTCGGAAAATTTGAAACCAGTACCAGTACCAAGGTCCCATGAAGAACCTTTTCGGGCCGTGTATTATGCAGAGCCGAATCAACGCCCAGGCGAACGACGTGACGTAGATTATTAATAACCAAACGTATACTGGAAGAAGTGGTATACTGTACCAGTAGTGTATATACTGGACCAAGATCATAAGTCAGAGCGGAATCGTTCGATTTCTATCCGTTCTGTCGTTAGAGGCTAATCATATGTGCATACTGGAGTTAGGCGGTCCACGAAGTTGCTCGGTTTTATCCGTATTCGACTGAAGGAAAACGATGAGGAGGAAGACCAAATAGCTGGCTGTGAACGAGATGAACTTGTTGACAGGCGACTGCCAGAATTTCGACCACTTCGAGTTCGGAGCGATCAAAATAACCGTCAGGATCACTGGTAGTATGAAGATTCGCATTATCACGATCATGCACTTCATCCATCGCCCCATGATCTTCCACTCGTACCATCCTTCGATCCACTTACTCGTAATCACCTGCAGATTTATATCCCACATTCCGTTATTAATTACTCTTAGGTTTGATGGGTACAGTTCATCGAAGAGTGAAAGTAAGTAGTACGGAAGCGTAAAAGGTATCAGTTAAGACAAAAAATTATATATAAAATCATCTGAATCGTCTAAGTACTAGATACTAGATAGTAGATACTGGATTCTAGATGCTAGACATTAGATACTAGACACTAGACACTAAATGTTAGATACTAGATATTAGGTACTAGATATTAGATACTGAATACTAGACACTAGATACTAGATATAATACACTAAATACTAGATATTATACACTAGATACTAGATATTATACACTAGATACTAGATACTAGATACTAAATACTAGACAGTAGATATTAAATACTAGATATTAGATATTGAATATTATATACTAGATCCTAGATACTAGATACTAGGTACTAAATACTAGACACTAGACACTAGATAATAGATATTACACACTAGATACCAGATATTAGATACTAAATAATAGACAGTAGAAATTAAACACTGAATATTAGATACTAGATCCTAGATACGAGATATTAGATACTAAATACTAGACACAAAATTAACTATATACTAAATAATAAATACCAAACACATAACAGGAAACAGCGACTATCGAATATTAACTATCTAAAAATAAATACGAAAATCGAACACTGAATACTGTATACCGAGGGCTGAATGTTAAGTACAGTTGAATGTTAGAATGTTAAGAAGGCATAGAGTGTTTATGACATCCTCACGGCTAATTAACTCCGCTATCGTGCCGAAAATGGTGACCGATGATCCTCGTCAGCGGAGTTAATCAGCCATGAGCATATAAACACGTTGTGCGTTCTTTTCTCGCACACACTATACTGAACATTAAATGCTACACGAGTAAACGATATAACCATTGAAGTGTCGTTACTTGCTGTACGTTGGGATGAGCCACGAAGGACCTCTGCCTGTTGTGCAACGCGAACAACAGCCTCGGGTAAATGAACTTGGACGAGTGAGCAAATCCCGTGGTCTGTTTCAGGATCACTTCCACCTCGTCCGCGGTCCTGGCGCAACCGAGCAGATCGGTGGCGAACTGCATGACGCTCTGTTAAAAGAACGAGTCAATCGAAAGATCTAGTAGCAGCGAGACGAAGAATGGTCGCAACCTCGGCCAGATTCTTGTAGTCGTAATAAAATTCCCTATCGAACGAAGCCGCCTGCCTCAGTTCGTACGACAGATTGAACGCCTCCATGATCGGGTCGTCAACCGTCTGACAAATGTACGCAGGATTTGAGATAGCCTTGTACGAGAATATTCGCATCTTCTCCGCCGTCAGCAGGTCGTGCCTCTCCCGTTCGAATCTGCGCTATCGAGCGAGAAAATCCCCAAAGAAATGCTCGTGCGTGCGATAAAGCCTTGCGAATACTCGTACTGCGCGTTCGGGAAAAGAAGGCACGGCGTGTTTACATCCTTAGGATTGATTAACTATATTGATAGTCATACGATCACAGGCAGTGATTGCTATCGGCTGAAGACAGTGACGAAGATCGTCGGTGTGCTGTCTATGATCATGGGAGTGTCAGTGATCTCGATTGGCCGAAGGCAGTGACGAAGATCATCGAAGTTTCAGTGTCCACTATTGGCCGTAGACGGTGACGAAGATTATCGGTGTGTTGCTTGTGATTATAAGAAAGTCAATGATCTCTATTGGCCGAAGGCAGTGACAAAGGTCATCGAAGTGTCAGTGACCACTATTGGCCGAAGACGGTGACGTAGATTATCGGTGTGCTGTCTATGATCATAGAAGTGTTAATGATCTCTAATGACCAAAGATAGTGACGAAGGTTACCGGTGTTCTGCCTGTGATTATGGGAGTGTCAGCGGAGCTAGACAGCTTTGAGGATGCAAACACGCTGCGTCTTCTTTCCTCGAATGCACAGTACATACTTGCACACGTCCTGGCAGTTACAACTAGGCGGATGCGGCTTGTGCAGGAGATGCTGTCTGGTCCGTAGCACGCTGATCATCTCGAAGTGGCCATATTGGGCCGCAACAGCCAGCGGCGTCGTGTCGTCCGGAAAATCGGCGCTCTGCGTCACCCCGGCGTACTCCAGCCCAGGTGACAGCTCGTTCAGCTTGTTCAGAATAACCGTGGCGATCTTTATCTCGTTTTCCCTAATGGCGTGGAGGTGCGAGTCGCCCGGATCGATGTCCGGATGGGTCAGCAGGTACTCCACCATCGCCATGTTCCTGTCACGGACCGCGATGTGAAGCGCGGTGACACCCTGGAAAAAAGGCCGCGACCTCTCGTTAGCGAAAAAGTCTGTTTCGTGCCGGTCATGGGTCCGGATGATTTGCAACACGTGTACCTCCTCGTCCGAGAAATCTTTCCAGAGTATCTTTGTAATATAACTTTGTCATATTTCCTTCGAGAAGAATCTTCCTTCGTTTTCTGTCTGTTCAGGTGGAACACAGGGGTTCAGAGCTATGGTGGTTCTCGGTATACATTTAATTTGCTTTTGTTTAGCATCGCTGGTGATTCTCAGTGCTGTGATTAGGTGTTTAATTTGAACGCTTCAAATGATAGGCTTTTTTGGACCATTTTGGTTTAGATTTAGGGTTTTAATGATTTTAATGACGTGGGAGTTGGTATTATTTTTGGGTCGAAATTTTGGATTGTTTTTTAAATTGTAATAATATAGAATCTTATAATAATATAGAAGTTATTATATTTTTGAGTCATATTTTAGATTTTATCGTAATTGTTTTCACTTTGAAATCCTCGATTTTTATTGCATTATATAATTATGTATTTCCTAAGATTTTGGGGATTTTTGGGGGATTTTTTGGATAACATTGGATTTGCTAACATTTTTGCTATTTCTAGAAATCTTGGTTCCTTGTTAAATTGCGTTTTTATGAAAAATCAATAAGAAATTTGAATTATAAATTGTTCAATTTATTACTGCAATTTTTATCGTTGATATTTATATTATTATTTTTATTATTTTTATATTATATATATTCGTAATTAACCTAGTACTTTCTCACTTGAATTTCTCGTAATAAAACGTTACTCGATTCTCTGTCAATTTATTTCCATTTGGATTTACAAATTTTGTCGTGCAAAATTAATTTACATTTAAATGAAAATGTGTATTCTATCGATTAAAATTATATTATGTACTACTCTCGGGATTGTGGGAATGGTAAGAGACAACGTAGAAGCAGCTGGTACAAAGTAGAATAGCAGAATAAATATCAATTTTTACCGCGTAGATAAAAATAAAAACGGATTAAATGGGAAAAATAAAAAGGCAGGGAAAATACAGGAGAGAAGGATTACGTTTCAGGACAGAAGCTCCTGGAAAATATTTCCAACTGGTGGAAAATGGAAGGAAAAGGTACTTATAATATCCTTTGTATTTTTACCTCCATTCTTTTTTGCACCATTTTTATACATAGGATTAATTATACCTCGCTTCCACTGCTTCACAGGGTTGTATTAATATTAAAAATAAGGACGGCCAAAATTTTGGAAAATTCTCGTTTATATTCGGCAATAATTTGCGTAATGCTGTATTCGTGCAAATAAAATATAATTTCGTTTTACCTCGCGAGAAATTTTGTTTCTAACTTTGAATATTGTCCTACGAAAAATATTTTCCTATGTTAAATCTTTGACTGACTTACTATATTCATTCAGTTTCCATTTTTCGCGATGTAAAATGCATTCGACGTTAAACTCGCCTTTCTTTTGCGAGTTTATCTTTAAATTGGCAATGAGGCGAGTCGAAGAGAAATGAAAATTAGACCAAGAATTTTTCTCAGGAATATATGTACTAGAAACATAAAAGGGTCGTGTGGGAGAAGAATTTTAAAAGGTCTTGAGTGGTGCACAGATCAACATTCCTTTCTGCTTTACCGATGTATGTATTCTAAAGAGACCCTTTTGGGATCAACTCCAATTTCATTTTTATAATTTTTATAATTAAATTAAAGTTTTATAATTAGATTAGATTAGGGTAGTAATTTTTATAATTAGAATAATTCCAAATGTACAATCCGTAATTAATATTTATTTTCTGCTACTGTGTTTCTTGATTATAGTATCTAACAAATTGTAGCTTTTCCTCTGATTTGTAATATCTATTAGGTGATTTTTGTAGAGTTTATCTTTCTGAACACGAATCTGTAATTGAAATTATTTTATCACACTAAGATTCCAAAAAATGGGATTTTTTCTAAAAACCCACGATTTTTGGCTAACATTAAGTATTACGTAAAAAGTAAGAAGGTTAGGGGGAGGTTCATCGTTGTGTCGAAAGTTAGGTGAGAGTATCCCGAGTTTATCAGTATCCATAATTAATCAAAGTATTCTGACATACATATACGTATCATGGAAATTTATCCTATGGAAATGCAAATGCAGTTATAGTTCGTAAAAAGTTTATGAATTATCAAATTTATCGTTAATAACGAATTGAAATTGATAAAGTATAAAAATACTTAATATAAATGCATCGCGAAAATTTATATTCTAAAAACATAAACAAAGTTTATAAATTATTATATTTATAGTTAGTAATAAATTAATATTGTTAATAACAGATTGTTCACAACGAAAATTTATAATAAAAGTGAACAAAATAATAAATTATTGGCTGCTACTTGAGTTTACTATATACTTCTGTTAAAATGTAACTAAAATTTGCAAAAAGTTTGTAAATTATTACAATTATTGTTAATGACAAATTAATATTGTTAATAACAAATTGTTCACAAGGTAAATTTATACCAAAAGTGAAAAAATTAATAAATTATTGGCTACTACTTGAATTTATGAAGAAATTATGATAAAATGTACCTATAGTTTGACAAAAGTTTATAAATTATTGCACTTATTGTTAATAATAAATTAATATTGTTAATAACAAATCGTTTGAAACGTACATTTACAGTATAAGTGAAACAATTAATAAATCATTAGCTTTAAGAGCCAAAAAATAATAATTAATGGATCGATAAAGTTTAAAAATTTCCAAGTGGGGTGGGGGACTTGGCCGATCGGCGGCTATATAAGGAGCGACGCGACGCTGCAAAATTCATTTGTCGGTTCGACTTCGGAAGTGTAACATCTAAATTTTCGTTGTGCGCGAGAGGTGGGAGTCCGAAGTGAGGTAGGGGTTGGCCACCCCACCCACTACTCACCCCGTTAAACAATTTAATAATTTTTTTTGTTTTCAGGTATTAATAATTTATTTTTTTCATTTTCAGCTATTAATAATTTTTTTGTTTGTTTTCAAATTTTTATTTTTTTTCTTTTACAGATATTATCTTTTCGTTTCTATTTATCTTTATTTCGTATAATATTCGAATGTTTCGTCGTTGGTTTGCTTATGTGTCATTGTTGGGTTTCTTATATCTCATCGTTGGGTTGTTCTATCTATTTGGTTTATCATTATGGTTCATATTCGTTTCGCTTTTACTGTCTTTCCTCTTACTAATCCGTTTCATTTCAGATATATATATATATTTTCTTTTCAGGTTTATATATTTTTTCTTTGTAGGTTTTCAAGTTTTTCAGGATTTCATTCGGAGGACATAGTTGGACGCCGCGCTTAGACCTAAGTAATTATAAGATAGATACCTAGACTAAGTATAATGTGCGCGCCATCTGTACAAAGGTAAGCTACCTAACTTGAAGCGAATATATACATTTCATATTTTTCTAGCTTCGTCCCTCTCGTTTACCAAATATAACATAATTGTTCTCGCGATAATCGCGATCGTTCTTAAGTACCGACTAGCCTGCGCGACGTACTCTCGTGTACTCGACAACTTCGCGTCTCATAAGTCATCCTCACGACTCGTCTCTGACACTCAATTCCAGCCACTGTCAATCTCGTCATGCATCGGGTTCCAGGGTGGCCCTCGGGTCACTGTTTCTTCTGGACTTGATGCGGGGGTCCAGCTGCCCCGGTCGCGTACGCGACTGGGGTTCGGGTACGCAATTGGACGGACATAGTGTCTACGGTTAGACCACAGGGATGATTAAGTTCTACCCCGTGTGGCTGGGATGCGAAATGTCTGTCTGGCTTGCAATGCCCCGCCGGACCCTCGTATCGACTCTGGGGTTTCGGTGGTTCGGGGAATATCCTTGGTTCACGTGTAAGTCATGACGAGTGCGGCAGTGACTGGACTTGGACTAGGCCCGATCGGGAGGATGCCGAGGCATGAAGTTATCTCTGTACACAGAGTACGTCTCGCAGGCTAGTCGGTCTTTCGAATAATCGTGATCTCGTTCGGGTGCGTCGCGATTTTCTCTTAGTTTTTCTTTGCTCGCGTTTTTCATATTTGATTCCCCAATTTTGTGGGAACTTAGAAATATTAGAGTTTGTTAGTATTGCTACAGTAAAGTAATAAATTTTAGTATACCGAATCGAAGTCCCTTTGATAAGACACGAAATTTAATAAAGTGTCAGTAGAATCATTTTAACTTCTTTCGCTCCAAGTTAGGTTATGTTGCCTTTGATACAGATGGCGCCAGCAGGCTGCGCCACTAGGGCGCATGTCTGGGTCTCGATGCGTAGCCACCTCCACGTGGTGAGACCTGGTAATTGGAATCCTTTTCCTAAATATAATTTTTCTGAAACGATACCAAGCTAAGAGTTACGCACCAAAGTTGAAATATTAGTTATAAGCTAGCTGTAAGTTAGTTATAAATTAGTCGTAAGTTAGTTATAAGTCAATTAGAGAATCTGGTTGCAAAAAGACAATGTTCGGTTGAAATAAACAAGCACATGTAACAGGAGAAAAAATTGGATTCATGGAATATAACCAGCGTAGAGCCATCAGATATCAAAAATTATATTTTATAGTTAGAAAAAATTGAAGCAGTAATAAAAATATGTAAGGTATGATATGCTATTGAATTTTAGGTTGGCTAACTGTATGACATACCGGATAGAAATATTTGATGATTAAATAAAAATTCAGAAAGGGGAGATGATTTAGGCAGACAAAAGGGAATAAAATTAATTTAGGTGATATCCTCTTATGAGAACAGAATAAAGAGAATACAGTGAGATTGAAAGGTATGTCGTATTCCTGATCTAAATAAATATTAATATCAGTGGACAAAGTCACTGATTATTACTAATTTGTTAAGTTTCAGATTGATGGAGCTGAGGTACATAAAGAAAGGAAAGAGGTTCTAATGAAAGCAGTGAGAACAAAAAATGTATACTACGCAGAATCAAGAAACAAAAAAGAGGCAGCATATGTATCAACAGAGAAATGTGTAGCAATGAGGCATCGACATGCAAATATAAAGTTCATTTAAGAGATGGAGAATGAAGAATTGGTAATAGTTCTGAAAGGTAAAGATAAATTGAATATAGGGTGTGAATGTTGCTTTAAGGAAAAAATCTGTAGAAACACACATAGGAAACTATAAAAACAACGGAAATAATGGGGCTGTGACACATGGACTTGATTGGACCAGTGAAGCCAATGTCAAAAAGAGGTAAAAGGTACATCTTATCTATTGATGATTATTCGAGAGTGATTATTGGTCTTGCTCTTATAGGAAAAGTATCAACTGAGGAAATAAAAATATTGGTAACATTTGAAGAAAATTAATCTGTGAAGAAACTGAAAAGTACTTATATGCTTAGACAATAGAGGTGAGTT